AGGCATACAACATACAGGCCCCTCAACAATGTATCTGCTTTCAGTACTCCAGAAAAAAAGAATTGTACTTTTAAGAAGTAGTTTTACAAGCTATGCAAATGCACCAATTCATATATGTACGTACAATTAAGTTCATTTGTTTGATTTTTTTTTTTCTTTTTCTTTACAGGTTCCTTTAACCGAAGAAGGCGAAATTCCATATTTGTCACTGTGACCCTTTTCATTGTCTCCACTTTAATTTTAACGGTGGGTCTGGCAGCAACCACTAGAACAGAGAATGTCACAGTAGGAGGTTACTATCCAGGTGTAATTGTAAGTTCAAATTTAAGATTATTTTTTTTTACCTGGGTATAGTTATATACGTTATAGATTTTTATATAATAGCTTTTTCCTTTACAGGGTGTTTAAATTACTTACATGAATAAATATAGCGTGTAAACTTTAATTATATATGTTTATAACTATATATTAATGATATATACAGTATCTCTGCATGTAAACAACTTTATATAATTTATAACATTTATCATTGGGTGCTAAAATAGAACTCTAGTATGGAAATTTAATCTTTTACCGTACACGCTGCTGAAATTAAAATCTTTTCTGATCCCCAGGATAACCATAACAGTAAAGAATATGCTGGGAGCTGAACTTCCAGCTTCTGTAATGAGTCCTCCATGCAGTGGCTTTCTATGAAGAATTCAGTAGGGTCTGGTGAGGCCAGCCTTATGAGACAGTAAACTAAACTGGATTTTTATGATGATGTACAGCTGGATGGTTACCATATTTTAAGTCTTCCATCAAGTGTCTACATCTGCAATGTTCAAGACCAGGGATCCTCAACTCCCGTGCTGTGGACCAGTACTGGTCCGTGACCTGTTAGGAACTGGGCCGCAGCAGATGGCAGTCTCCTTGGCCATGGCTGGATTAACATAGGGGCTTGTGGAGTTCCCGCTCCAGGCCTGCCCCTGCACATAGGCCCAGCTGGCCCGGATCGCCTTGGTATGCCTGATGGCAATCCGGGCCGGCTACAATCAGGCAGAGGTGGCCCTAGTGAGGAGCAAGTGGGCACCTGATTAGAGAGCTGTTTCTGCTGCGCCCGTAGCCACCAGTGAGACTCTCTGGACCTCTGGTGAGAGTCCGCACTGGCCACCTGAGATCTTCACCTAAAATCCCTTACTGGCCACCTGAGGGCCCATCTGACCACCTGAAAGCCCGCACTGGTCACCTTAGAGCCCACACTGGCCATCTGAGAGTCGCACTGCCCACCTGAGAGCCCCACAGACCACCTAAAAGCCCAAACTGGTCACCAGAGAGCCCGACTGACCACCCGAAAGCCCATACTGGCCACCTGAGAGCTCAGGGCTCCCACTGATTGTGAGTTGTATAATTATTTATTTATGACAATAACAATAATAGAAATAAAGTGCACAATAAATGCGCGTAAATCATCCCAAAACCATCACCCACAACCCCCCACCCCCAGTCCTTGGAAAACTTTTCTTCCACGAAACCGGTCCCTGTTGCCAAAAAGGTTGGGGACCGCTGTTCTAGACAACCTGGCCACACTGCAGTTCAATGGAACGTACAATTTCAGCCTGGGTCGAATCATGTCAGTAACTGGGGAGAGCTGTTAAGAGCATATTTTGTGGACACAAACAAAGAAAAAACTTTAAAGGACCAGAAAATTAGTAAGGGCCACTGGAGGTTTACAGAGCAGATCTGGTACCTTAAAGAGAACTTTACAGTAAAACGCAAGGTCAGGATATTAGACCCAGGCCCCCTCCCCTGTGAAAATTGTGGCTTTGCCAACCAACACACCTTACTAGGACTTGCTGCATCCAAAGATGCACAGCAGAGCACAAAGCAGGTCAAACTCAGCCTCTGAACTGCCATGGGTACTGCTCAATCAAAGGCAGTGGGATTTTGCTGACTTTCGTTTGGTGTGCGTTCCAAATGCCGGAAAACAACGCCCATGGATATGAGCCTGTAGACTTCCTAAAAAAGAGTTAGCTGCTTCCACTTTCTATTATCTCCGAAGAGCTGAAATATCAGTTTTTGATGGACTGAACCTTTAACTGTTTAATCTCTTAATCTCACATTTTAGAGGAAGCGAGTTTGTACACCACTTAGATGTCTTCTGTATGATTTTAACAACATACTACAAGTTTCTGCTTATCTTCCTTCAGCTTGGATTTGGATCCATACTTGGAATCATTGGATCAAATTTAATAGAAAATAAAAGACAGATGGTAAGTGAAAAAGGGAAAAACAAAATGACAATCCTGTAGATACATTGTAGGGAAAAAGGAAATGCATAGAACTATCAAGTATGGCCTGCAAGTGTACAATACAATAATTGTTAACTTGACTATATTTGGTACCTGTATCAAGAACACTTCAACCAGCATCTATTTAATTACTATTATTTCCATCTATAGAAAACTAACTAGTTTGTAAACATAGGCGTGTGCAGGTGATATCCTACACAGCCCTGGTAATACCGCACACAGCCCTGGTAAGACTCTGCACAGTCTCCTGAGACTCAGCACATCCCACCAGAGACCCCGCACAGCTCAGCTGAGACCCTTCACAGCCCCCCTGAGACCATGGAGACATCAGGCTGCCGCCCCGGAGCAACACAGAGTGTGTAGCTTCATATTATACTGCATTGCTGTATAATGTATTGCTGGTATGTGTAGTCCTCTATAGCTGGTGGTATTCTGCATTGCTGTATAACGTTTTGCTGCGGATTGTAGTCCTCTATAGCTGGTGGTATTCTGCATTGCTGCATAACATATTGCTGAGATTTGTAGTCCCTCTACATCTTGGAGTCAGTGGAAGAACTACTAGGAATGCAGCAATTCCATGTGGGACCAGGCCCTGGCACTTCGCCACTGTCTTAAAATCATTGGTCTGTATTCTCATAGAAAAATGTTACATGACACTAAAAGAAAAGTAATTGGTATCGGCCTCCATGGGGGATCAGTCTCTTTAGATCCGCTTTTGTGCTCTCTTCTTTTGGTGCGGCGGCGCCCCTCCTGATCCACCGCGGAGGCTTAAAATCACAGCCGAGAAAAAAGAAGCTAAATTAACAAAGCAGCACTGGTGAATGAGGCGATTTGAAGCCTCACATCTGCGGGGGATCAGTAAGGCTACTGCCGCGAGAAATTAAGAGAGCCCAGAAGTGTGGGGTGGCGATTCTTTGGATGGACAACTTCTCACAGGTGGGTATGGGGGAGCATCTCAGAGTCTTTGCCCCGGGTGATGGAATGTCTAGCTTCGCCACTGGGTACGTGAACATTCACAGTCACTCCAATAGATTTCAAATTACAGACATGGAGGCGTAACTTTTTTAAATTTGAGCCTCATAGTTAGATATGGAGATTCTAGTTAACAAAACATTACACACTTTATTGCAATGCCCAGTTTTTAAAAACACTACCTATTATTCCTGTCAGAAAACTTGCTGACTTGATGTGGCCTTTAAAAACAGTATTGGCAAGACACCAGTAAATGAAGCACGCAGCTTATGAAATATTAAACTGCATTATATTTCTGTTCTTATTTTTTGATCTGAAGAGACCACTATCTTGATCAGGGGAAAGAGTAGATAAAGATGGTGAGGTTCATCAGACTAGCTGGTACTGGGCTTATGTTATACATACTTCACAAATATTATACAGTATAAACTCAAAGCAAAGGTGAATTACCTAAAGCTACTCTGTTACAACCTAAAAGCTAAAAAATGACTGCTTGCAAAAGAAGGCTTTTAATGTTTAGCTGTCCCATCGCCTGTGTTGCTGATCTTTGCTTATTTGCATTCTTGATCTACTGCTGAGAACAATATTCTGCATCCAACACATGTTGGATTCCCGATCCGCTGCTGCACGCTGTGCATCTATCCTCTAGCGCACACATGTCAAACTCAAGGCCCAGGGGCCGAATCCGGCCCATCAGGCCATTTCCTAGACTTCTACTTTCAGATCTAGGTATTAAGTTATTACTAAAACCAATGATAATCGAATGCAGAGGCAATTATGATAAAGATTAGATACATTTTTATATAGGCCCTTTGAGGGCAACCATAATGTTGATGCGGCCCTCGATTAAATTGAGTTTGACACCCCTGCTCTAGCGGTTACATCTTAGCAGAGCTGGGGCAAATTCAGCGAGGATGTCAAAATGCGCGTCCCCCCAAATATTTTTTATTTTTTTACTGCCAAAAACTAACACAAAGTGAAAATGTTTACATACAAAGTGCAAATAATAAAAGAACCAAAAAAGCTAGGGCAAGGGAATAACTGAGTTAATAAAAATAATAAGGTATAATTAAAAATTATTCTGCAAATTGGCCCTTTTTATGAAGGTACTAGAATCATGTTTCTGGTACAAAGCATTTTTTTAAATTAATGCTACAAACACAAACAAGCCTACATACAAATGTTTAAAAAAAATACCATAATAATAGAATTAATTAAAAAATTCAAGTGAAGGTCATGGCTGAGCAATAGAGGCCGGAATAGCTCCTGTTCCAGCTGCGCTCCTGCAGCATGGCACCCAAGCCCAGAGCTTCCTCTGCCTCGGCCCTGCATTTAGGACAGAGTAGTGAGATAATGGCTAGCGGATGGACAGAAAGTAAGTGGAAACTCTCTAGTAAGGAAAACATTTAAAGTGGTTCTAATGCTTCAGTACTTAGCCAAAGTTTTGGCTGGAGTTCCACTAATGGAATGATTGCTCAAGTGGATCTGACGCTCCTGATGCCAAGAATGACTGGCCAAAATGACAAATCATTTGGCAGGTAAAACAGTAAAACACATGTATTTCTATTGTGTATTTAACTGTTTGCGTGGAGTGTTACTTAAATATTGAATTTATTCCTTGACTGTGTTTTGTATGGTTTTGGGGCACCATAATTGCAAGTTAAAAATTTGATTTTTAGAAATGCATTTAGTAATCAAGTTATATATTTTTTTAATTAAATTGTTTTTACAAGTAAGGCAAAAATATAAATTGTAATTGTCATATTTATGGGCAGCCTAACAGTGAAGGCTAGTGTGGGGTGAGTTAGATCTTCCTTTTCTTCAAGAAATATCAGTGCTGTTGCTATCCCCCCAAAACATCCTGTTTAATAAAACTAGTTATGAATCAGCTTAAGATAATATAGAGCATAGTGTATAGCATGTACATTACAGTGGTTACAATCTGCAGGGGCCAGGATTATAATGTACACCATACTGTATATAGCAAACCTCCGGCCCTCCAGCTGTGGTGGAACTAAAAATCCCATGAGACATTGCAAGATTCTCACAGCCACAGACATGACTCCTAAAGAGAGATGCATCATGGGATTTGTAGTTTCACCACAGCTGGAGGGCCGGAGGTTTGCTACCCCTGCTGTATACAGTGCAGGGGACAAAATTGTGAACGCAGTGCAGGGATCAGGAATATAACGTACAACATAGTGTATGCAGTGCAGGGAACAGGTCTGTAATGTACACAATAGGATATGCAGTGCAGGGTTCAAGTGTATAATATACAACATCAGGGCTGGATTTCCCACAAGGCCAACCGAGACCCGGCCTCGGGGTGGCAGGGAGCAGCAGGGCTGTGGAATTCCTATCTCCCAACGCCCGGGATATGAAGTTCCAGGCACCGGGTGGGTAGTTGTTTTCTACATTTAGCCCTGCTTTGGGCAAGCAGGGCTAAATGTACAGCGGGGAAGCTGCTCGTTCATTTACAAGTGATCTCGGCGATGTTGCCGAGATCACTTGTATGCAGCCTGCAGGTCTGTACTCTACTGCCACCCCTATATTGGAAGCGACAGGTTCAATAAAGAAAACCGGTCACCTCCAAATGCAATCACACAGGGGCTTGTTAGTTCCTTTGTGATAGCAATAAGGTTAAATGAAACATAAATAAATAAAAATTGATAAAAAATAATAAAATAAATAAAAACAAAAAAAATCTGTAAAAAATAAGAAATAATAATTAAAATAAATAAAAAAATTATAAAAAATTAAAAAGTAAAAAATAATAAGACAAATACAAATTTAAACAAGTACAAAAATAAATACAAATAAAAAAATTAAAAAGTGATAAAAAAATAAAAACGAACCCTAACGTGTCTGCCACCTGGTTGCCATTCACTATTGGGGCGCTATATGAGATCTACCAACGAAAAAAAAACTCCCTCTCTCTCTCCTGGCTGTCTCTCCTTGCTCATCCTCCTGGCTGTCTCTCCTCTGTCTCCTGGCTGTCTTTCCTCGCTCTCTCTCTCTCCTGGCTGTCATTCCTCGTTTTTTCTCCTGGCTGTCTCTCTTCGCTCTCTTGGCTGTCTTTCCTCTCTCTCCTGTCTATCTCTCCCCGCTCTCTCTCCTGGCTCACCTTGCTGTATTGTGCACCAGGCTGTGTAAACTAATATTCTTTGATGTAATACATAGCACTTCAACCACCAGTATCCACCAGAAAGGGAGCTTGGCTCAGCAGACTCAGGCTAATAGGTAATCATGTGTGCACAGCTAAATAAATATACCAAAATGGAATAAAGGGGCCGCCATTCACACCCTTCATGATCTACCGGCATCAGCTTTGAGAGCTACTGGTAGATCACGATCTACCTAATGGGCACCCCTGGTATACACGGTACAGGGATCAGGAGTATAATGTACAACATAGTGAATGCAGTAAAGGACTATTTAAGATACAGGTAGCTCTGTGTACAGAATGCAGTGGTTAGTAATATTATGCCCATTTCTGCTGGTCAGTCGGAGAAAATATGCCTCAAAGTTGGTGTAAGAAAGTGGAGTAATAGACCCCCAGCTCGATCCTAAAATGGCTATCTGTTCTTTGCTTCCTCCCACAGAGTACTCACAGTGCCCTGGTGTCTATGTGGGTTCACAGTGTGGGTAGTATGCATGCATAATGTGAGTGTGTGACTGCAGTGGCGTAACCAGAGTTCTGGGCGCCCGGGGCATTTTTTTTTCCGCCCCCTCCCCCCATTATATAAACAACCACTGGAACTGTACCCTGCACCTCCCCCCCCCACACACACATGTTTTTATTTTAATTTTTTTTCACTTTCGGCATTTAGCCGAAAGTGCCATTTTCGGCCGGCGCCCCCCCTTCACTTTTCGCCCGGGGCCCGCGCCCCTGCTGCACCCCCGGTTGTTACGCCACTGTGTGACTGTGTTACCCCACCCCCTGCCACACACAAGCACAGAGCAATGCACTGAGTTGTCTTAGAGTATAGGAATTAATATTACTGAGTAATGTGATGTGCATATGAATGAGTTGTGGGCACAACGTAACAGGGCAGGGCTGCTAGCCAGAGGTAGTGACAGACTCGGTGAGCCTCTCGCTGTGCCCCCCTAGACACAGCCGCTTCTGAACAACTTAGGTATAATATCATATAATATATATCTTCCTACCATAAGTTTGTTTTAAAGGATATCTAAACCCAGAAATGTGGTGTCCTTGTTGCTTGTTACCTGTGTATGTTTCAGTTAATTATTAATTCCCCTCCAGACTCCATGTAATAGAGCTATAGAGAGGCAGACATGTGTAAAGTCTTGCCCGGGTAACAACATGGCTCACTCCATAGGAACAGTGGAGGAGTAAGTGTAGCTACCCTAACAAGTGTGTTACTTACAGGATTACCAGGTGAAAATAAAAGGAGAAAAGCCTAAAAAAAAGAAAACCAATATAGCCAACTTATCTGAGGACTGGTGAGCTGCAATAAAGTACATTTTTGCTTTTTGGGTTTAGATATGCTTTAACCTCCCTGGCGGTATTCCCGAGTGTAGCTCGGGGTTACTTTTCCATACCATAAGCGGTAACCCCGAGCTACACTCGGGAATGCCGCATAGCATTTACTTACCTTGTCCCTCGAGCCGCGCTGTGTTCTGCGGCCGATGGCGGCTTCCGTCTTCCGGGTTCTGTCCCTTGCGAGCGTACGTGTCGCAGGGGGGCGGAACCGGCGGCATATTCAAAAAAAATAAAAAAACGACAAAGACAAAAACAATTCGGGAAAGAAAATAGACCGAAAAATGACATGAAAAAAATACTAAATCATACCGCCAGGGAGGTTAAATCAGTGATTATATATTTTGTTTCTGCAAATGATAATCTATGTGCATGTTTCAATGATTAAACCATAATCTTATTTCTAATATGAAAAAACTGTATCTCATTATTAATGTACTTTATTATAAATTACTTCTATTTGCAGCTTGTTGCATCTATAGTTTTTATCAGTTTTGGAGTGATTGCGGCTTTTTGCTGTGCCATTGTGGATGGTGTTTTTGCTGCCAGACATCTAGTAAGTATTCTAAATACATACCTTTTTAGGGAACCTGTCACAAAGCATAATACAAAAGCAAGATATATATATAGAAGCTGCCCCCCTTTGACGCTAATATGATACCCAGACAGTGAGCCTTTGCCGAAAGTGTTATGTAGCCTAAGAGTTTTGAGAGTGGTTGCTTCCATCTGAGGCATCTCTTACAGCTATTTTGATTAGTAACATGTTCCAGCAAGTAATTGTGCCCTGGCATCTCTTTAAAATAAACGGCATTGCTAAGTCTTTATTACAGGAAGATCCTGCACAAAGGCAGATTCTTTGTGGATTACTGCACAGATCTGGAAGAAATACACAAAGCACACCAAAATTCAAGAATACAAGTCTCTTCTAATTGGTCAATATGTGCCTCTCCCAGAGTTTAGCTTAAAAAATGCAATGTTCGCCAATGGGGAATAGCTGCTCACCATGCCAGGTATGCAAGCTGGTATCTTAATGGCAATTTGGTTATGAGCCTGCCATGGAGATACCAGTCTGCATGCTCCTTAATGTAAGGAAGGTTTTGAGGGGTCCTGCTAACAATGGGTAATCCTCTTAAACCATGTGTTCCTGATACTGATAAGACATTAGACCCTTCAGCATCCCCAGTGGCCAGGGAAGAGTGCTGGTTTAGGGCCACCAAGCTTATGTGCCACCTATCTACCCCCCATGAGGGAATGAAAGTAGTGAACTGCCCTTTTATGGTTATAAATTATATGAACACAATTAAAACAAAACGTAAATGTTTTAATGTAGCTAATATTCACTTTATAGGATCCAGCAGCAACTTAGAATGTCCTCCAGAGAGTCTTCTTCCAAAACAGGAAGCAAAAGCTTCCTTCCACCTTCAATTGAGATGTGAGGGGGTATTGCTAGATCATTGCCAAGATTTGGGTTAATATCAAATACGAATTTACAGTCAGTACTGTTACAGGGAAAATATGGGCAGTCACCTCCGCAGAGTTCAGGGGAACCTTTTGGATTCTGCTTTGGTAGAGACACATCAGGGAAACTTTTTCAGAGCCACTGGATCCTGGAAGGCAAATATTACTTAAAATGCTACATTCAATTTTAAGTGTTTCAGTGTGATTTGCATGGTCACATTCACTAGGTGCACTTTTGCTCTAGTAGGGTTAATAAATAAGGAGGGCTTTAGAAGTGTACCCCATTGATCTATACTTTAAGGTCCAGTCACACCACATGCATTGTGTTCAGTGCAGCCCCAAAGCAAGGCAAGGCAATTTGCCTTGCGACGGATGGGCACCATTTACACTATCACGTTGCTAGTGTACTGTGCACTGAAAAAAAGTACGGCATACCATATTTTTTTTCAGCACAGCGGGATGCGATGCAGAACAACCTCCTTGTACTCCGCTTGTACTCCACTTGTACTCACCCAGTCATGTAGAACATTATTTTAAAACGTGATTGGATGGTTGTAGTGAGCACTGATTTAATGAGCTACATAAAATATATACTCGTTTAAAAAAAAAACAATTATCTACCTAGTGATCATGGTTATTTGACCCCGATTTGTCTGACAAAGCAGCGTTGCCTATACACTACCCTTTAATAAAAAGCTGTCTCTCTGTAACCCTATTTAAAAAGAGATGGTTTTCTAAATGATGTCTAAGAAAAGAGAAAAAGACAATCTTTTGACCTACATTTTCCTTTCATGGAGTATGCTGCTGACAATGTAGAACCTATAAAGACTATTTCATTAGTGCCTGGAATGTTCTGCATCTTTTTTCAATAAATCTTCAAAAAAATCTTCGAACCTGTTTTTTTTTCTGGTCACAAAGGAATAAATCACCCATAGTCATGAAGGGGTTCAAAGGGGAACTTCAGACAATAATGAGGTGTGAAATGAACCATTAGTGTTAACTGCTGCATTTATTTTCTTCCACAGTGTTAACACCTTATACACATTGCTTTTTCCATGTGAGAAAAAGGAAATGCTAGGTGTTAATAAAGTCAATTCAGGTTAGTAAACCTGTCTTTAAAGAAACATGGTTAGGTTAGGATACTAGTTCCCTGGATTTCAATCATTTGAGTCGCTTTCCTGGACTATATAGATCCCAGTCCTTCAAACCTTGGACTATATAGATCCTTCTAAGTCCTTCTAACATTACTCTGCTTCTTATCTGTATACATGTTCTGGGTCATTGACTAAAAACATTAACACCAGAGGGTCAGAATAACAACCAGGAAATTAGCATTTTCAGAAAGAGCTCAGCAGTGGTAGTATGATTTTTAGTATGATTAATTTATTCTACCCTGCTTTAAAAAAAGAGTAACACTGTGAAAATATCTCGAAATCATTTAACATCATGTCTTCTATTAGTGACCACGTTATGGAAGCAATACCTAATTGCCTTATGCAAGAATAAACATTTGATGCCCAACACAGTTCCTCTAACATGACAGAACATTGCTGGACCATGCAATACTAGCTGAGGCTCCATCCACACATGAGCGGCTTTCCATGCGTATTTGGTCGTACAGTGTGCATTGTTCAGAGTATTGCGGCGTCCATGCAGAACGAAACCCTGCATCCTGCAAAATAGTCCAAGCACGATTTTATGGATGGATTCCGCATGTTCCGGCTATAGTAATAGCCGCATATGTGCGGAATCTGCACGTATGTTAACGTTTGTGCGGTTTCGTTCCGTGAAACAAAAGTGCATAAAACGCTACCGCTATGTGTGAATCGAACCTTATTCTTGTTTGGAGTCGGTAGGAAATTAAAGCAAATTTAATGGCCACATTTTCTTTATTCCAGTAAGTGAAAAAGCTTTGTGGATGTGGGCGTTTAATTCACACAAAGTAAAATTAGCAAACTATAATAAAACCTGAAACATTTTCCTAAATCTAATGATATTCACATACATTACAAATGAAAATACATGTGATGTTATCCCACTCTTGGCATGTGAAAAATTATATCACAGTTTAATAAACTAAGGACATTATGCTTCTTGTTTTTTTTCTGTTGGTATGCAAAGGTGGAGGCTAAGCGTGATTTGATGATTGCCTTTTTTAACCCTTCTATCTGATAGTAATTATAAAATTGAAAGTGTGTCCAGCCAAATTTTTTGTTTTTGTTTAGGATAGAGTTCGAAAATAGTTAGAAGTTCTGTTGGGTTTTTACTGATATCCAGGGATCCGTTAGTGGACTTATTGTCCAGGTAAGTGAGGGTAAGTCTCGAACAGCAGTACAGACAGAAATTAAAACTATTTTAGTAGAGTCGGGGAAGGATAAAACCATATAAGATTTGTATTACTGTTTGTGCCCTGGTTGCAGATTTCCCCCCATTATTGTCTGGGAAAACTGTTGGTACTGCGACAGAGATTTTAAAAAAGTTCTCTAAGGTTGAGTTCACATGAGCGGCAGCCTCCACTACTCCCTGAAAAGTGATGTGTGGTGGATCACTTTTCAGAGGGCGATGGAGCAGTGGTCAGGAGGTGCCCCCTGAATGCAATTACAAAAAAAAAAAATTCCAATGGGGATTTTCTATTGCAGTACTGCAACTGGGTGCCCACAGGGTTGCAGCGCGGACCCATTCATTGCAATGATTGTGATTGACAAGCGCCACCGCTTGCCAAATGTAACATGCTGTATATGCTGCCCATACGAACAAGGCCTTACAGAGCCCCGGACAGCAGTAAAAACTAGATTGGTGTTCTAATCCTTCCACGCTTTGTCCAAAACTAACAAAAGGTTTTGGCTGGACATACACTTTGACATGGAGTTCCATCCAAAACATTTTAATTTCTTTTAGATTTAAATAACGAAAATGCTATCATAAAAAAAGGCCAAGATATGCTATAGTATACTTAAAATAAAAAATGAAACATAAATTCAATTTCTCTATTCTGAAGGATCTCAGACCTATCTATGCAGGCAAATGTCGATACTTTACCTCTTCAGATGAGGATCGCTCCACTGACACTACTGAGGTGAGTTGACATGATCTATACCCCGCTCCCCCAAATTGAATCTTTTGGAATGTTAAAGGATTACTGCTTCCTTTCTGATTTCCTCTCTTAGGTGATGTGCCAGATGCCAACTCGAGGATCTTGTTCACTGAAAGTAAAAAGCAACACCTGTTATTGCTGTGAACTATATAACTGTGGGAGGTAAATTAACATGCAGTGTGTTTTTCTGCCTTTATGAATATGTATGCTGTCATATAATTATTAGTGATGGGTGAACCTGCCCAGGTTGATTAATTGAAGCTTCAGCGAATCTGGTTTGTGACAAATCCCCTTGAAGTAATGGGGGGGGGGGGCCGTTTATTGGCTCCTGGAAGTGATCAGGCAGCTTTACAGACTGTTTACCGGGGTCCACTGCTGCTGACGTATGACATAAGTAGGTGCCAGCGAAAGGGTTGAAATACATGACCGGTTGCAACAGAGATCCGAGAACATAAATGGAGATGGATTGGATATGTTTTGCGAAAGGCCGCAAATTAATTCTGTAGACAGGATTGGAATCACCAAGGACAGCGCAGGAGAGGCTGACCCAGAGGCTTCTGGCAGAGCCTATATGATGATATCAAGGCTGTTGACATGAACCTGACCTGGCTGCAGGTCAACTCAAAAGCTTGGAACCATCAACAGTAGAAATCATTCACTTCAGCCCTACGTTGCTTAATGGAGCAGGATATATAACTAATCTAAGAGACAATGGCAACAAATATTGTACCGCGACTAAACATTATGTAAGCAGCTTTGTGAGGCAGCAATGGAAGAGGGAGAAACAAGGCAGATATTATCTTAAAAAACACCATTAGAGTGTATTATCTGAGAGACAATAGCCACAAATATTGTACAGTGGCTGAACAGTATGTTAGCAGCTTGGTTAGGCTGCAATATAAGAGGGAGAGATGAGGCATGGATTATAAATATTAGAGTGTATTATCTGAGACACAATAGCCACAAATATTTTTGAGTGCCTGGGCACCTGAATAATCCCCAAACTTTGAGACACCTAGCAGGGTTTACCCTGCAGTTAACATTAGATATTTTGCAGCTAAGGTCAAGCTACAGAAACATTGTGTGCCACCTTTAGACCCAGAGCACCAGAATAGGCCAGGAGAGGTGACAGAGCTGGTAATTGGGGCAGGTATCAAATATTTTTGTACACTTAAAGTAGAACTGAATCCAAAACGTTTTCCTATTTTTATTTCCTATTTTTGGATAGAGTAAGGGAGGGTTATAACCCCTATGAGTTTTTTTTGTCATCTGTGGCTGATTGGAGAGATTTCTCTTCACTTCCTGTCCGATAGCCACAACAGGAAGTGAGTGGAAATTCCTCCAAAATTAGGGAAATCCCTGGTGGTTAGCAGGGTCACCAAAACTAGTGTCCCCATTGGAAGAGTTGCCCTCTTTTTCTGTTCTGATGACAACACAAAATTTGGAATTTGTTTTTTAATTTTAACCTTCAGTGATAACAGTCACTAGGACAAATAGAGAGGTCGAATCAGCCAAACAGATAAACAGACAGCAATAAAAACCTGACAGAGGTTCTAATCCCTCTCCACTCTATCCTATTAAAAAGTTTTGGCTTCAGTTGAACTTTAAAAGCTTAGTCTGTAGCATCAGCAGCATGGGGGTTTTATAGTAATTGGTAATCCAAGAATGGCTCATTTTAATGAAAGTGAGCTGGACACCCAATATTCCATGGGGTCTTCACTTCTGATACTGTGCGCAATAGCGCTGGACCCAATATTGTCAGCAAGCATGTAGTTCAGGTGCTGCCAGTGAGTGCTGTCTGCAGCTGGGCCTGGCCACTGTGGTTTGAGAAAACTCTGAAAAGCAGCTCTGAAGAGTTGCCAGCAGCTCTGGCCCAGAATAGCTTCTGTCCCCCAGGCATACACGCTGCAATACAGAATGGCAGCATTTAACCTGGGATGTTGGAAGTATGGAGCAGCGGAGCTACTCCCTGATCCATAGATCCATAATTTAAAAAATGACAGGAGTCTGCAGGGAGAAGAACCCCATGATTCACGTAAATGTGGTGGTTTGGTTTGGGGCTGGGAGAATTGGCCATGTTTTATTATTTAAACTCTACGCTAAGCCAGCCTTCTCAGCGTGGGTGTTAGTTGGAAATGATCTGATCTTATCAGACATAAAGCCTTTTATTTGAGAGATGAACTTCTCATCTGACATAAGAAAAAAAGGTATGTAAAAGAGCTTGTGTGGCCCTTATCAGTCAGTCAGTCTCCCTTTAATCATTGCATTCTTGGCTATTAGTCACATATACTTTAATTACCATAAAATACATATTTACATGCATCTAGTTTAACATCCTGAACCTTTCTTGATATCAACTATCTGTAATCCCCTGCACAGAAGTACTCAGACCTAGAGAGGGAGCCCTAGGAGCAAATAAGGTTCTGCTACATGTGCTGATGGCGAGCATGCCGATAAGAGGGGAGAGCACACTAAGAAGACTGATTAACCATTTTTAAAGGGGAATCAGCGGGGGGGGCACACGGGGGGGGCAAGGCATAAGCTAGGGGGGGCAATTGCCCCCCCTTGCCCACCTGTAGAGACGCCTATGGTGTCCACTGAGTGGGCAGGGGTATGTTCTTCACATGCTGTGCTGTGGGGGAGAGAAGCCGCCCCCAGGACGAGCTGTGTCGGCCGCACGGCGCCCTTGTTGCCATGGCGCCCTGTTCCGTTGGTGGATGTTTGTACCTGTATTGTTAAATTAAATGTAAACAGATAATATGTGGCTATAACTGGTATAAGTAGATATATTTAGATTATTTTCCCTTTTCCAATCTCTTTAGGGCTGGAATTACAGGACTGTACTATGAGTATATTGATGTAAAAAGCTGCCAAGATGTTATACATCTTTACCACTTGTTGTGGTCAGTTACTATACTGAACATAGTGGGTTTATTCTTGGGTATTATAACAGCTGCAGTACTTGGAGGATTCAAAGACATGGTACGTAGATAACCTTTTCTTTTTTGTTCTACTAATTTCTAAACTACCATATGCCAGAATGCGGAAAGTTAATATAACCTATTACAAAAGCACTGTTATTGCAAAGATACCACTTGTGAAGACTCTTTAGCATCCAGAACACGTCCTGGTGCATCAGATGCCTGATCACACACTCAGTGGTTCGATCTGCACACTACATCACTTTACAAAAATGTCCTATAGTGATGTAGGGGTTGTCGGGAGAACCCATCAACTGTAGTGGGGGATCAGGAATCCAACATTCATGGTAGTGTCAGATTGTGAAGATTTTTAAAGCAGCTGTATCTCTCCAATACAGTGCAGACTGGAGGCATGGGAGAGATACTGTATGTATGCACTTGTTTTAAATGATTACTCTACTGACAGGGTCACTTTAAAAAGGGACCACCACCAAAGCAGTTGGGTGGAAGGTAAGATTAATGCATAACCATGTATCTCCTACCTGTACTCAGTATTCTGTTTGCAGTGCAGTTTGTCTTTGTTGAGCAGATGTTTAAAGTTTTCTCCTGTTGCTTGATTTTGGAAATATAAGGTACTTGAGCCAGGCAAAGCAGATTGGAGGAGGAAAAACTTTGGAAAGTTCTGAAACTAGATAATTGCAGTAACAGTGACAGGTCCTTGATAATGGGGTATATGTTTCACGTCTCTCTGGCATTCTTCTTTATCGAAGAATATTGACCAATAAGTTGAATCCGCAATGGCCTTTACTGAACCACACGTGGGGATTATTGGTGGAAACTCTACATTCGAAATTGTAACTTCATTGTACGTAGAGAACTGATCAATAATGTTTTAGTCACTTGAATGGCTGATCCTTCTGCCACAAGGCTTTAAAACACAAAAAGAAAATGAAGAAGATATTTCATTGTGTTTTTAGGGGCTTAGCATGAGAATTAATATAAACTTCTTTCTTCCTATAGAATCCTAGTATTCCTGCCATTAGTTGTATTGTTGAGACCCCACGCCCTACAGTGCAATACAACACAAGACCACCAGTGCCGTCTTACAATACCTATTACCACAGCACTCCGCACCTGCCACCTTATACTGCCTACGACTTACAGGTATGCTAAGACATCTGCAACAATGATATAGAGTATGTAACAGGAGAGAACCAAGGAATAAACACAGAGCACAGAAAAGGTTACTGGGAAGGGGGAGGTGCCAGAGCGCTGTTCCATGTAACTAAAGGGAGAGAGGGCTAGATACAGAGGGCTGTTCCATGTAACTAAAGGGAGAGAGGGCTAGATACAGAGCGGTGTTCCATGTAACTAAAGGGAGAGAGGGCTAGATACAGAGCGTGTGTTCCATGTAACTAAAGGGAGAGAGGGCTAGATACAGAGCGCTGTTCCATGTAACTAAAGGGAGAGAGGGTTAGCTACAGAGCGCTGTTCCATGTAACTAAGACCCCATTCACACGTAGCGACATACCTTTTGCAGCGGATCCGCACGGCCGGGATAGCGCGACTTTCGGGGCGACGTTCCAGCGACGGTAGCGCAACCTTCTCCGTCGGGCTCCATAGAAAAAGGGCAAAATCGCGCAAAATCCGCAGAAAAAAGGGTCCGGTAGAAGCGACTTGCGACCGCGACGAGCGACATGGAGTTAAGACAGCTCCATTGAATAGCATTGGCCGGCGACTTCTCGCGATATCGCGCGGCGGAAATCGCGCGATAATTCGCTACATGTGAACGGGGCCTAAAGGGAGAGAGGGCTAGATACAGAGCGCTGTTCCATGTAACTAAAGGGAGAGAGGGCTAGATACAGAGCGCTGTTCCATGTAACTAAAGGGAGAGAGGGCTAGATACAGAGCGCTGTTCCATGTAACTAAAGGGAGAGAGGGCTAGATACAGAGCGCTGTTCCATGTAACTAAAGGGAGAGAGGGCTAGATACAGAGCGCTGTTCCATGTAACTAAAGGGAGAGAGGGCTAGATACAGAGCGGTGTTCCATGTAACTAAAGGGAGAGAGGGCTAGATACAGAGCCCTGGGGCCATGCTAAAAAAAATACGAAACATAATTCTGTGTTTAAAAGTCAGAATTCTGTTTCAAACTCAGAATTTTAAACACAGAATTATTATTTTCGTATTTTTTTCGCATGGCCCCAGGGCTCTTCCGTAGAATTTGACATGGTGTCAGCCGCTTGCAGTTCCTCTAAAGCAGAGCTTAGAGTTGGAGAGGAAGTTCATGATTGCACTGCTTCTCCTTTACTATCCAGTCAGAGGCTGGGGGCAGATCCATGACAGCCTGGGTTCAGAGGAAGTGAGTTGAATGATGTTGGCTGTCATTTAGCCTAGAACACGGAGGGCATCTATTGATGGAAAAGAAGTACTAAAGGGAATAGCTCAGGTTTAAGGATTGCAGAAGCTGCTTTTTTAAATGTTTTCTTTAATGAGCTGTTAAGGGTTTGATTGGTAGGGCAAACATATTCTAGTGTGCTAATTACACAAGAAAGAGACAAACCATGGTCTAGTGAGTGAATTCCAGTTCCTTTCTGATATTGGTCCTGAAATGGATTTGTGTTATTATAAGTCCCCCAGTAACAGGTTTACAGGTGTAGTAATATATATTTGAGTTTAAAAATGTTTTCCTAAAGAAATAAAGTTTCACAACGTCAAAAGCAAAAGACAGCCGCATGGTCAGAATTTGCCGACATAATTCAGGCAGTGATTATCTCTTATAAGAAATGAAGTAAGTCTTATAGAACAAGTAAGACGAAATTGTGAAGACGGGCTCTGGCTATTTTTTCAATGTTTGCATATATTTTTATAGGTATTCAATCTTTGTTTTAGAAATAAATATTTCATACAATATAATAAGGCTCTTATTGACACTTTAGAGGAATCCATCTAATAAGACATTAGTCTTTCTGAAAATTACTTGAGAGTGAGCTGTGTAAACAAGACGCCTTTTGTAGCAGGAGGTAAGGAAACTGGAAGCCATACAACAAAGAGCCTAAAGCGCCACCTGCTGGCTGAAAAGGACATAACAGTATATTATGGTGATGATTCAGATTTACCTTAAAAAAAATGTTACTTTGTTTTTTCATCCTGACTAGGGATGTTTAGATACCAGTGCCGATACTTGGCTCGGGGGGGGTTTGCCGCGAACGAGCACATATATGGACCCGCTGATCGCCTATATGTGAAACACCCGGTAACGGGTGTGTGCATTGATCGGGTCTTTTCTGCCCGTGCGTGCCCACTAGGGGGCGCGCGCGAGCAGAAAAAAATCCCCACTGCACTAAGGTAATGCAGCTCTAACCCACATACGTTGCAGTGGACCGTGCAACCGAGCACTACAATGGATTGGGGTGTGCTCCGTTGCCAAAAATGGTGCATATCCTTTTTTTGGATGTTTTGGCACGTTGTCAGCCATTCATTTGAATAAGATGCCTTAATGCAAAGCATGGCAACACAGGATGCTAAGGACTGAATTGGCCTTAAAACCTACACGTGAAGTCTTTTAACGCTGATCACTCTTGTTTGTTCTACAGCATTCCAACGTATTTCCAGCTTCTACACCGTCTGGCTTGTCAGATGATCCTAATTCAACATCACAATCCGGTTCCAGCTTCATGTGGCCATCCGGTGCTCCACCGCGCTATTCTCCACCTTATTTTCCACCAGATGAAAAGCCTCCACCTTACACCCCATGATCTTCACACGTATGGAGCCTTGTCTCCTTAGCAGAAATTTTAGGCCAAACGCCTGCCACATACTATGAACTTTTATAACTTCATGGTATGCATTTAGGATACCTGTGTGGACTGGATGACAGGTGTTGGCTGGGTAAAATGTGTATATATGTGTGCAAGGCACCTAAGATATACAACAGTGACTTTTTCACTTCTGCCAAATTCAAAATGCACATGATCAGCTTTACATGGATGTACTGAAATGGAAAAGTTCATTGGATGGTGCATTCATTTCATTGTTGCACTAGTGCTTCTTTTGTAGTGTGTGTGTGTGTGTGTGTACTTTATGTTATTCTGTGTAGTAATACATGTTTCTTCCTCCTCCACTGGGTGGAAAACTACTCCATGGGAAACCATGCTGACTCCAGCTGTCTTTGGCTCATGCTTCTCCTTTTCAATCAAAGCACCAGCAATGCAAAAGACACAGTGGAGAAATTGGAGACATCCAAGCTTTAGTGTTCAATATAAATTGAGGAATCCTCTGAATGTAATTTTTTTTCTTTCAACATACCATTAAAGTAAACTTACGAAATGAACTGTTTACATCAAAATCCAGGGAAACGATCTCTACATCAAGGACTGAGTAGCTGGGAGTGTCTCATTTTATCATGCAACATTGGTGCCGCTCAACTGTACCATGAGTTTATGATGAGATCACTATGTTACTTCAAAATAAAGTCTTAGGTGCGGAAGCACTGTGGTCACAACTTAAAGCCTTGCTGAACCTGTCTTTTTATTGTGAACAGTAATGCCACAAAACAGGGGGCCATAAATCTGTTGTGTGTGTATAAGGAGAATGTTCTGGTCTTAACAGAATCCAGATTTCAGCCATTGTGGAGGTTAGATAAGTGATACATTATTCAGTTGCAGTGTGAGTGTACCTGGATTTCATGGATTAAATAAAGCCATAGTTCTCTGCCAAAAATCTATGCTTTTTAGTACTGCAATGATTTTTGGGTTTGGATGTACTTGCTTTGCTTCTAGTGATTACGCCACCTATGAAGTCATATTTGTGAATTCTTGTGCACACAAAAATTGGATTTGTAACCTACCTGTAAAATCATTTTCTTTGAGTACATCACTGGACACAGGTTCAGAGTCTTAGAACATGGGTTATATGCAGCTGCCTTCAGGTGATGGGTCACTGGTAAACAAAGATGTAAGGACAGCCAAAATATAACCCCTCCCACTCTCAGCAAGCCTCGGTTTCGTAGCAAGCAATAAGGAGTAAATCATAAGAACAGGAGGGGAGAGACCTATGTCCAGTAATATACTCTAACAAAAGGATTTTATAGGTTAGTCAACAATCCATTTTACGTCATCGTACATTACAGAACACAGGATCAAATACATTTTCCTAGAACGTTTCAGAACAGGACAGAGAAAGAAAATATCAATGTATAGATTGAAAGTGGAAGGCGGAAACTACCTTGGAAAGAAAGTAGGCCTTGAGCCTCAAGAAACCCTTATCCCTGTGTAACACAAATAAAGGTTCTTTACAAGATGAAGCCAACTCAGAGACTAACCTGGCAGAGGTGATCGCAATGAGGAAGGCAATCTTGTGAGTAAGGGTAGACAGGGAATATCCCTGATGGTATCAAAGGGTGGCTTCTGAAGGGCCAACAGAACCAGGTTGAGATGCCATGGTGTCACTGGGCAGCATACAGGGGAAGCAATGTGAGCTACACCCTGCACAAAGGCTTTCATTAAGGAGTTCAGAGGCTAGTGGTCTTTGGAAAAGAATTGCTAGGGCCAACATTTCACCTTGATGGTACTTAAGGCAAAATGCTCATGCAGACTGGATTGGTCCCACAGAGTACCTACTGCAACGGAACTGCCTTGTCTTTCACCAAGCAAAGTAGGTTTACCAGGTGCGATTGTAGACTTTGTGGGAAGTTAACTTCCTTACCTTTAAGAGCACAGGAATGACCAAATCCAATAGGCCCCTGTCCCTCAGGACATGGGCTTCAATAGCCAAGACGATCTGGGAGGGCCCATGGAGATTCTGTCATGTGTAATGCAGAGAAATAAAGGTTAAACCTTCTGTGACCAGCCACTGTAGGCAGTGGGTGGAACAGGGAGCTGAGGAAACCAGCTAGCCACAAGCCTGTGTAGGCAAATTGGTACTCATATGTGCAGGGTGCCAAGTGAAAAAGGGCTGCACAGCAGCAATGGCAGTCCTGGCTCATGGCCCGGAGACCGAAGTAACAGACAAAAAGGCACCAAAATCTAAATTGTAAGTAAATATGGGCTGCACTCCATAGTTAAGCCTCTAGGGACCAGAGCAGGAGCAACCTGGGAACAATATTAGCCACCCTCCAGAAGGAAGGACAATGTTAGTATGAATTCAGAGATGATTTGAGGATCTACAGCCAAGTGATAACAAAAACAATATCTTATTTATGTAATACTTAAGGGTACTGCATGCATTTTTTAAAATTTAACTCCAGAGTTTAGTGTCACTTTAGACCCTTGGTTCTCAACTGGTGGGTCGTGACCACGTGTTCAGTGGGTCCCCGTGTGCCTTCCACTTTTCTAGGTGAGAGGCTCTTCTGCCTCCCCCTAGCACAGCACTGTCAGTTCTCACGCCAAGCAGCCATTCAAAATATGCTGCCCAGGGCTGAGTGTCAGGTTGAGCTGTGGTGGGCTGGGGCTATGCCTGCGAGGGAGCTCCATCCATACTTGCACTGCTTACAACTCACTCGCATACCCTGTAGGAGGTGCTTGTACCGGAGTGACGTCAGAATCCGGCTCCCGTCACCTCTAAAGAGCATGCCAGGAAGCTGTACAAGTGGATGCACATATGGATGGAACTCCGTCACAGCACAGCAGCCCACACTGCGTTCCATTGCAGTGCAACTTGGGTCACGACTTAATGGCCAAGGACAAATGTGGGTCTTAAGGCTACACAGGTTGAGAAACACTGCTTTAGACAAAATACAATATGGACTGATTGGAACTGTCAGATCCCACCAAAATGTGATTACACACTCAGCCTCACTCTGTGCAGAGATTTTCCTGTTCAGGGACAACAATCCAAGCACTAGCAGACTGAGATTGATCACCACTGAGGCAGGTTAACCTAGCAGCTAACGCTATACACACATGGTAGCTGCCATGTGTTTAATGAAAACATGCACCATTCACAGCATCTGCAGTAGCAAGTATGACCTTTAAAGAAAATGTCTGTATTACTTGCTCCAATGCCCAGACAACAATGTTAGAGTTTACACAATGGTAGTTCCTTGTTTGATTTCTAGTTAAAGGAATGAGATTCAGCTTAACAATTTTAAAATATGTTTAAAAAAAAAAGGAAACCGGTGCAGGAAATATTTACAAAATTACAAAACAGACATAAGCAACAGTATCAAAATGATTAAGAGTTAAAATACTTAAGTGGAAATCTGCCTGGTCTTGATTAAATGCAGCGACGAGTAAGTCCAATCCAATTAGGCTGTTTCCTGCCCTCATAAGTGAATCTTAGCATTTATTCATAGCTTCAATAGTAATACGTGAGCTCATAGCTGTCGCAACCATCTTTTCTTGTTCCCTTGATAGGTGTTGCTAAATGGCCCCTCCCAACAAAAAGGCCTGAGGGGTGTGATATACATGTGCTAGAGTGGCTCCAGCTCACACACTGTTAATGTCATCTATTCTAAATACATCTAGGTTTTCCATCTGCCAAGGTTTCACAAACTGAAAACCAGCATTTAGCAGAATGACATGATAATTTATTAGAAACCAAATAATATGATATAGACCAAAAAGGTAACCAATTTTTAGGAATGTAACTTAATCAGGGCAGGAATTATGGATTATATATAAAGTTTGGATCTGGTAGTTAAAAAAAAACCCCAAACCACAGATGTGTATTGCTTAAGCTGCTCTGCCAGACTATTTACAACTGGGCTATTTAAAGCAGGTCTCATTAGGATTTTAAAGACCTTGCTAGTGAAGGTTTATGACACTTCAGCATTTCATCTAAGCTCTCTGGTTTGTGTCAAAAGCTGAAATGCTTTCTTTTGTCGAATGTGTCACCTTACATGGATGCCTTGCACAGTTGTAAGATTTAAATCTGACTGTTGGTTACTGACTTGTGGGGGAAAGGAGGATGGCACCATGTTCAGTGCGACTTCCCCCATTCACTCCAAACAGTTTTGGGGTTCCTCAGCCTTCATTTTATGTCTAATTGGAGGCCTCAAACCCAGCCAGGCAGCCATTTATATGTGAGAACAGTTGACCAGGTTAGAAATCCTGGTCTGATCTCTACTCTTCCTCTCTAAAACAAGCAATACTTTATATCAAGGCTAAGCTGCTCGTGTTCCTTCTGCTATTCTTGTCAGTAACATTGCTAGGAAATAAGTGCCTGAGGGCACTAGTCAAACTATTGACTTTTAAAAATATGCTTTCACATTCTCAACAACTCTGCAATTGAATAAGACATTACGCAGTTCAGATTGAAAAGAAAAATGTTTATTTTGCCATAGAAAGCTCTAAAGTCTATAGGCTCAAGTAAAGGTTAGTGAAAAGCACACAACAGTAAAAGAAAAAAAAGTTAAGTAAAAGCTGTACAAATATAATATATACACAACATTATTGGTACAAATGAAACATTTCAGAATTAAAAAAAGGACAAAAAGATGTACAACCCAATTCCTTAGACACATACAGCTGTTAGTTGCATTCCAGGGTAACCAGTGACTATATGATGAGCAACCAGGCATATTGACACCATTTTAATTCTCTGTACATCACACGCATATTGGAATGCTATGCTGAAAAGCCTTGTGCCAGGACTTCTAATTTTTGTTTCAGTGTGCTAGGCCTCTGGCAAAAATTTAAAATGGAAAGTGGGGGCAGCTGTATAATGGTTAACAGACTTGTGGATAATTCACTTACAATTGAGCATAGATATGTGTAGACAGTGAACAGCAGTATTTTTAACATCAACATAATGAACATTTAATGGCCAAAATAAATACTGCAAGAAAGATGTAATTATCTAATATCATGCTCTTAGGTTTCATCAGCAGTCCATGAGTTAAAACTAAAAGCACGTATGGTATCTGTATAAAAAGTAACCTTTTCAGAGACCGCTTCCTTCTTTGGGTAGTATGTGCTGCATACGCATGGAAAAAGCATCCACCCTTGTGCCAAATATCCCAAAGCCACTGAGGACCCGTTTACTAGCTCTTATCTTAATGTAAACTTATCTTATACAAGGGCAACTCGAACTAAGCATACAGTGAAAAAAAAATGTCTTAGTTCTGTGCCTCTTCCACCTCCTAAAATACCCTGCACAACAAAAAAAGGACCAATAGAGGTTCTCAGGAGGCAGGCTGCAGTGAGGTTACCTACTTCTGGAGGTTTGAAAGGCAGAGTGAATTGCCCAGGTTTACGTAAATGCCAAATTTTAAATGCAGTAAAATGTATAGCAAGCAAGTAGTTAGAACTCCTGCTACTGAAGTCGGATCAGTTCAATAAAGATTTTGATTAGTTTTATGGGCAAATGCACTTCAAAAGCAATTGCAAGGAAAAAAAGGAACCCATCAGTAATCTACTTATACTATCAACCCCAAAATAAAGCTGAGCTAAAATCTGAATATGCTCAGTTTACTTTACCTTAGCTCACTGTAATCCTTTGCTGCTAGCCCTCACAGAGTTCACTGGGAGGGCACACCCTGTTGAATATGCTGT